TGCCCCAAGAAGGTTTCACAATAGAAAAAACAGTTGAGGCCATTCAGAAAGTTTGATCTTCTTCTTAAAAAAAAACACAGTTGGGGACCGAGAAGGTTTCACATTTCACAAAAATCAGTTATGGCTTCCAATAAGATTAAAAAAAGGGATTTGGGGCCCCTGAGAAGGGTTCATTCTTACAAAAATAAGTGAAGGCCCTATAAAGTTTGACATTCTCTAAAAAAACACATTTGCCCCCTCTGAGAAGGCTTCACATTCTTAAGTAATAATAATAACAATAATGATGTATTATATAATAGACTACAATCGTCTATGGTAGAAACTTAATACATAAACATACAGCTGATTCCCTAGAAGATTTCATTTTCTTAAAAAAAAAAAAAAACAATTGAAACCCCAGAGAAGATTTCACTTTATTTAAAAAAAACAATTGGGACTTCTAAGAAAATTTCCCCTTCCTAAAAAATGACAGTTGAGACCCGAGAATGTTTCATATTCTTAAAATATAGTTGGATCCCCGAGAAGGTTTGACTTTCTTTAAAAAAAAGATTTGGGATGCCTGAGAAAGTTTTTCACATAAAAAAAAACAGTTAAGGCTTACGAGAAGGTTTGACCTTCTTTAAAAAAAGACAGTTGGGACCCCTAAGAAAGTTTCGCAGTCTTAAAAGGGATAGTTGGTGCCATCGAGGTTTCTCCTTCTTAAAAAAAAAAACAACAATTGGGACCCCTGAAAGAGTTTCACATTCTCAAAAAAGGTAATTGGGACCCCTGAGAAGGTTTCACATTGTTACAAAAAGACATTTGGGGCTTCGAGAAGGTTGAACTTCTTAAAAAAAAAGATATTTCAAACCATTAAGAAAATTTCACATTAAAAAAAAAGACAGTTGAGGCCCGAGAAGGTTTCTTATTCTTCAAAAAAAATAAAAAAAAATAAAAAAAACAGTTGGGGTCTCTGAGGAGATTTCACATTAAAAAAAGAGTTGGAGCCGTCCTGAAGGTTTGAACTTCATTAAAAAAAGACGTTTGGCCCCCCTGAGAAGATTTCGCATTTGGAAAGAATTTGAAAATGCTTTGGAGTCTATAGTGTCTTTTCTTATAATAATGTAATTAAACTTCTTGGAGGATACGTCATGTGCCAAAATCAGTCTTATCTTAGCAGGTGCTAGTCCCGCCCACCCACCTTCTCTTTTTTCGAGGGTATGTCGTTACCAGTCACCATCGTTATTAAGAGAAAGTAAGGTGGAGGTATTCACGCATTAGGTGCGTGCAGTGTTGCCAATTTTATTTTTATAAAATAATGTTTTTTTCCTAATCTATATCATAAATAATTTTTTTATTATTTTTTTGGGACTCTCGTACATAACGTACTGAAGAGGTAATACCCGGTATAGCTTTGCTCTGGACAGAAACAGACTCGTGCTTCGTATGCGATGCCGTGTGTCGTTATATGGTAATAATATGGGAAGGTGCGTAGACCAATCGATAGTTCCGCTTCCTTATATGGTAAGAATATGGGAAGCTGACGAAATTCGAGTTGCGGGGATCAGTCTAATGACGACTGAGACGAGGTTGCGTGGACAGACGCAATGCGTGAATGATGACGTAATAAGGCTGAAGGTTATTGCGGGATGTAGGTGGTCGCTGCTTGGATACATTGAACACGGTTCAATATCTTGAGAACCAATTGTACAAATCAAGTGATATTTGGTATAGGGGTACAAGAAGTTGTGCTCTAATTATATATATGTCAAAAAAAAATTTTTTTGCTTAGTTTGTTTTTTAAATGCAAGGCCAAACTGATTTTTTTTAATGGTAGTACCATATAGCTACTCGTAAGACGGTTTTTGCAAAAAATGTGAATTGAGTGAAACTGATTATGATGATTATCGGAACGTTGGTACAGTTTTGTTGGTTACCATGTAATTGGTCCTTTTTTTATTAATGGGAATTTAAATTCTGAGGGATACTTAAGTCTGTTGCGGGAACATTTGGTGCATAGACTTAAAGAATGGTTTCCCAATTACCAAAATCCGGAGTTGCTAGCAGAAACTATTTGGTTTAACAAAACGGTGCTCCACCCCATTTTGGACGTCAAGTGCGACAGTACTGAAATGAAACTTTTCCTGGTAGATGAATAGGCCGAAGGGGTACTACCTATTGCTAGCATTAATCCAGAAATTCTCATTAACTCACTACAAGATTTTTGGAAATTGGTTTGTGTTATTTCAACATTTCAGTAACTGAAAAAAGTAATAGACCTGTCGGGAAAACCAAGATGAACGTGTCGAGATAAAATTTTTGTATACTTTTATGATAAGCAATTATTAAATAGCAGAGATTTCCCATATTCTTGGTACTGTGCTCTGCCAGCGGTAAGTGTTTACACCTTTTCTGATGTGTTTTTACATTTTTTGACTTAATCAATAAATTAATCTATAATGTACCAATTATTTGAAAACAATTAAAAAAAAATTAAAGCGCAAACAACCTTGCATGTATAATCACACGTTTCGACAAACATTTATACACTTCTGCGATGACGTCATTAACTATAGGGGACGAGCAAATAAATTTTAATCATTATTAGTATCTTGCTAAAATTTCCACGATATTGGTTTTGTAGATTCAAACACACCCTCTAAATTTTCTTTCACAGTTCTTTTTACGATAACCCGTAACATAGAAGGTTCATTTTTATAGTTGTTTTTTCTTCCAAAACATCCATGCATAAGATTAAATATGGGGGTGGATTAATACGATATAGAAGCATATTATTTTGTGTACCTTATATAGGATTTTTGTCTTAATAAAAAGATAAAATGTAAGCCCGCCCACCCACCCTATCTCGATTGTGATGATTTTTTCATTCGTTGTCAGATCAAGGGGCGGGGCTTAATGGCAAAATCCATATTTGTCTACAAGAATTTACCATCTTAAACATGTCTTGAGTTTCTAAGAATAAAAAAATCATCACAATTGCGATAGGGTGGGTGGGCGGGGCTTATATTTTGCCTTTTTTTCGTAATATACATAGCCATCTTTTCACAACAAGAAACTTAAAACATCGTTAAAATAGTACATTTTGGGAAAGAGATGGATTTCTCAATAATGGGGCGGAGCCTAATTGCAAATCGATACTTCCTTATACAAATTTTCCCATTTAAACATGTTTTAAATTTCATGTTGTGAAAAGAAGTTCACACGTCTTAAAATAAAAAGACAAAATGTAAGCCCGCCCACCCACCCTATCTCGATTGTGATGATTTTTTCATTCGTTTTCAGATCAAGGGGAGGGGCTTAATGGCAAAATCCATATTTGTCTACAAGAATTTACCATTTTGAACGTGTCTTACGTTTCTAAGAATAAAAAAATCATCACAATTGCGATAGGGTGGGTGGGCGGGGCTTATATTTTGCCTTTTTTTCGTAATATGCATAGCCATCTTTTCACAACAAGAAACTTAAAACATCGTTAAAATAGTACATTTTTGGAAAGAGATATGGATTTCTCAATAATGGGGCGGAGTCTAATTGCAAATCGATACTTCCTTACACAAATTTTCCCATTTAAACATGTTTTAAATTTCATGTTGTGAAAAGAAGTTCACACATCTTAAAACAAAAAGACAAAATGTTAGCCCGCCCACCCACCCTATCTCGATTGTGATGATTTTTTCATTCGTTGTCAGATCAAGGGGCGGGGCTTAATGGCAAAATCCATATTTGTCTACAAGAATTTACCATTTTAGACGTGTCTTGAGTTTCTAAGAATAACAAAATCATCACAATTGCGATAGGGTGGGTGGGCGGGGCTTATATTTTGCCTTTTTCTCGTAATATACATAGCCATCTTTTCACAACAAGAAACTTAAAACATCGTTAAAATAGTACATTTTTGGAAAGAGATATGGATTTCTCAATAATGGGGTGGAGCCTAATTGCAAATCGATACTTCCTTATACAAATTTTCCCTTTTAAACATGTTTTAAATTTCATGTTGTGAAAAGAAGTGCACACATCTTAAAACAAAAAGACAAAATATAAGCCCGCCCACCCACCCTATCTCAATTGTGATGATTTTTTAAATACTTAGAAGCACGTTTAAATTGGTAAATTTTTGTAAGGGAGAATGGATTTTGCAATTAGGCTCTGCCTCTCGGTCTGCCAACGAATGAAAAAATGAAACTTCATTATTATTTAGGTCAGGTCAGATATAGGTGGAGTTTAATTGTTGGTCTTAATTTTGGCTTAATATACATAGAATTCTTTGATTTACACGATACACAAAAACATGTCTTACATAGTAATTTCTTGCAGAGAAATAAGGATTTTGCAGTTAAGCTCCGCCTTCTTGGCTCATGACCAATAAAAAAAATCATCACAATTGAGATGGGGCGGGTGGGTGGGGCTTATATTTGCCTTTTTATTTCTTAACATACATAGCCATTTTTTCACAACAAGAAACTTAAAACATGGTTAAAATGGTACACTTTTGCGCGAAAATGTGGATTTTGCAATAGCTCGGTCTATCCACCCCCCCTTCATTTCAGTGATTACTCTTAACATTGCTCAGTCATTTACTAAAATCAGTCATATCTTAACAAATACTAGCCCCGCCCACCCACCCTCTATTTTCTTAGAGAGTATGTGATTTGCCACAATCAGTCTTTTCTTAGCAAGTACTAGGCCCGCCCACCCGCCCTCTATTTTCTTAGAGTATATCATTTGGCAAATTCAGTCTTATCTTACCAAGTATTAGCCTCACCCACCCGCCATTAATTTTCTTAGAGGGTATATGATTTGCCAAAATCAGTCTTATCTTAGCACGTACTAACCCCGCCCACCCGCGCTGTTCTCATTCTAACGATTTTATTTCTGTTAAGTATAAGATCCACCTTTAATTCTGACTAGATAAAATTAATCAATGAAATAGAGGGGGTGAGTGGGCGGGGTTAATTATATATTCTTTTGTAGTAGCTTATCAAAACTCCCATACTTAAGACAACAATTGTGGATTGTTGGAAATAACAAGCACCATCATGGAGCACAACATATTTGTGTTTGCACTTATGCTTTTCCCATCTTGTCTGGCACAAAACACCCTCAACTCACATGAAGAAATCATAGAATTCATAAATTCCAATCAATCATCGTGGACTGCTGGAGTGAATTTCGCCGGCAAAGACCTAAGAGATCTTTTACCATTATTCGATGGTGTTCGTGGGCTTCATCCTGATCTTAATTTTACGATACCTCAGATGAAACACAACTTGGAAAACATTACACTTCCTAGTAGTTTTGATGCTAGAAGTAACTGGCCTCAGTGCGCTGATATTATAGGAAACATTCTAAACCAAGGACTATGCGGTTCCTGTTGGGTAAACTTTCCAACTTTGTATTTTGTATTTTGATTATGGATAATTTCAGGCATTCGCTACAACGGAGGTTATGTCGGACCGACTCTGTATACAAAGCAACGGAACAGTCAAAATGCAGTTATCAGCTGAAGACGTTGTTTCATGTTGTTCCACCTGTGGGGATAAGTGCCAAGGAGGTTATCCCTCTACAGCTTTTCAATACTGGGATACGCACGGCGTTGTCTCTGGAGGAGATTATTTATCAAATTCTGTATTTTCGTGAAGGTTTATGTTTTTTTTTATTACTATTTCGTATTTTAGGGCTGCAAACCGTACGGGTCATCCGAATTTGACAACGGTGTAGCAGCGGAATGTCATCAGGCATGTTCAAACCCTTCCTACAAAACTTCTCACAACTCAGACAAGCATTGTGGCGCAAATTTTTACCAAGTGGACGGACAAGAGTCCCAAATTCAAGCTGAAATTTACGCCAAAGGAGCAGTTTCGGTTGTTTTTACGGTCTATGAAGACTTTCCATATTATCAAACAGGTAAATATTGCATGGTAGTGCTCTTGCAATCCACAACTTCAATAATTTTAGGTGTCTATTATCATATCTATGGTGCAGCTTTAGGTCTGCATGCAGTTAAAATCATAGGATGGGGGACCGAGAATGGACATCCGTATTGGTTGGTCGCTAATTCGTGGGGAAAAAGTTGGGGAGGATTAGGTGGATTTTTTAAAATTTTGAGACGTTTGCATCAATGTGGTATTGAAAAGCAAGTCCTTGGGGCCGATTCAAGGGTTTGTTTCCCAAATCCAGAAGACGATGTGACACGTTCATGGAGTACTGTAGTGTTGTCGACGGTTTCAATTGTATTTCTTTTAATTGTATTGGTTTTTTGTATTTGTTCTGAAAAATTTCGTAGTATTATGTTTGACAGTCGCATTCAGCATATTTGGATGAATTATCTGGAAAATTTTAATTGTGCCAGTTTGTTCAAGCCTTCTTCTGAGAATACTGTATATGAACCATTAAAGTACTGAATATAATTGTAAACATGTGTTTTTTTTACACAGACGTGCATAAAAAGAAGTCTTTTTTGTCATTTAAAGATGCTAACTCGATAAAGAACTGCGCACTCAGCTTCCGCTACGTGTTTCTGTTTTATTTAACCTCAATTTCATTTAAATATTCATTTTCTATGACTCTGATATTAAACTACAACTGAACATGTGTCAAAGTTCCAAAAAAAGCAATAAACAACACTTAAATTCTCCATACACTCTCGTGAAATTTTAAACAGCAAAGAATTCTTATCTTCTTAAGATTGAACAGCTGACAGTTTATATGATGGAAGCATTAAGCATATTTACAAAACAAAAAACTGGCAAATATTTATAAAAATAAAAAATGATCTCGCGTGAAATAAAACTTGTGCAGACAAAAAGTTACGTGAGATTAGGAACTGCAGTGCATGAAAATTTGCGTTCAATTTAAATTATACAACAAAGAAAGTGACTGAGGCTAAAATTGTGAGATATTTTATGTCCATTCGAGTTATTAATTTGTTCAATAAGATTTTACAGTTCAAACATGTGCGCGGTTTGAAAACACAATTTCAACATGGCCGCTGCCAGAACAATGAATTTACCGGATGTTAAATTATGCCACACTTTATCAACGATTCAAACAAAGAGTTAATATTATGTTAAATGATGCCTTGATCCAAGTGACTGTTTACTTAAAACCATCAGTTTTGAGAGCTTATATCGTGAACTGTCCCCAGCTTATCTCAAACAAAACACTTGATAAATAAACACAAAATGTATCAGGCGTTGCGAGAAAAGCTTCTCGGTGATGTGATATGATGTTAATAACTGCCTAAGGGGAGAAATTTTTTTAATCATGGCAAGTGCTTTATCTGAACAGATTCCTGACTGTTAAATTGTGTTAGCACTAGTTAACGATAAAACTCCTAGCATGAACTGTGAATTTATAAACAACACGTAGCGTCGGTTGAAAGTTCACTTATTTCCGCTTGGAAAAACCGCAAGAATTAGCTACGCATGTTGGGGCAACTGTGGCGTCGTCGTCGTTACAATTAATTTTCGTTAAACAAACTCTCTCTCTTTTTTATTAACTACCAAACCAACTAAACTTAACTCACCACGTGGTTTTCACTCACAACAACAAACCAAGAGTGACCCGCTCACAGCTCTAGCCACCAAATCAAGTTCTCCCATTGTTGTGTTAATAAATGCGTACTATTACAAGTGTGTTTCTACATTTTTCACCTGTCACTTGTCAATGCTAATCTGCATTCCCGGCCGTACATGTCGGTACATTAGGACACTACATCATTCCCCCTTTTTTTAACAAAATGAAAAGATACAAAATTATAATTAGCAAACAAAATCTTTGGTCCACGGAGGCGGTTGCCTTTGTCTCGCGGAACGCCTCTCCGTTGGTTCTTGTCGTTCTTGTTGGATATCTTCCACTGAAGGCTGGATTGGGTTTTCTCCTTCTCGTTTCTTTTTGTAGGACTTCACACGGGATGTGTTCCTGTGTACTTTACGCCCATCAGGTGTTTCGATAGTCACGGAGTTGCCCAGTTTATTCGTCACTCTACCAGGTTGCGGGAGATACGGTGTCTCTAGTTTGTCGGAAATAACGTCTCTTCTCAGTAGTACTTCATCTCCGATTTCAACTTCAGACGGCCAGCTTCGTCTGTGCGTGTCAGCATATGATTTGCTCGCTTCCTTCTTCTCCAAGTCTTGATCTCGCACCTCGGTGTCGGTAATTGGCTTGAAGAAATTGTTCTGGTAACTAGGTACGAGTAGTTTATCTCGGAGTTCCCTCCCGAACATGAGATATGCTGGTGTTTTCCCCGTTACGCAATGTGGTGTCGTGTGGTACGACAAGTATTGTCTTAAGGCTCTGATGATGTTTTCTCCTGAAGCTTGCGCTATTAGAAGTCTTTTCAGCAAGGATTTATTTTGTCTCTCGACTTCTCCGTTTGCTTGAGGCCATTTCGGGGTATTTATTCTCAGCGTGATGCCGTTTTGCAAACAGTAGTCCCGGAATTCAGTGCTTGTAAAATGAGTTCCATTATCTGCAGTGATGTGTTCTGGGAGGCCAAATCTTGAAAATATTTCCTCCAATTCTTCAATGGTCTTCTGTGCAGTGATGGATTTCATGACTCTTGCTTCGTAGAAGCGGCTATAATAGTCTATAACGAGAAAAATGTATGTATCTCCTTGAAGTGGTCCTTAGGAAGTCCATTGCAACCATTTTCCAGGGACCTCCCGGGAGTCTCGTCATGGTCAGTGGTTCTGGTGGTTGCGCAGCGCTCACTAGCTGGCATCCGTGGCAATGCTTGCAGAATGTCTCGACGTCTTTTTCCATGCCAAACCACCAAACTTTAGTTCTCAGTCGTTGCTTCATTTTGACGATTCCCTGATGACCTTCATGGGTTAATTTTAAGACTTTGCCGTAATGAAGGCGGAATTAATATTCTTGTGGCTCTAAGAACAACGTCGTCAATGATACATAGTTCTGTTTTGATCAGTTCGTATTTTTGCAGTCTCACTGGATATTTATCTTCTCGGATCGCATCTCTAAGGTCTTGCATCTCCGTGGATTTTTCTCGGATCTCTTCAATGGTCATTGAATATGGAACTGCTTCCTTCGCGACCCATCGGACGTGATATTCATCATGGGCGATGTTTGATTTTGTATTCGTGTCAGTTAGCCTGGACAATGGGTCTGCAATATTTTTCTTGCCTGGTTGGTATACAACGTTGAAGTTATAACCCATAAGCCTCATGACCCATCTTTCTACTCGTGCACAAGGCTTTGATCTGGGCGAGAATATGAATTCTAACGGCTTGTGGTCTGTAATTATATTAAATTCAGCGCCGTATACGTACAGGTGAAATCTTTCACATGCCCATACTAGACTTAGGGCCTCTTTTTCAGTTTGGCTGTACTTCTTTTCTGCATCTGTTAAGGGTCGACTTGCGTATTCGATGATCTTCTCCTCCCCATTCTGCCTTTGGACCAGAACTGCACCTAAGCCATACGGACTTGCATCAGCTATGATCGTTGATTTACAACGTGGATCGAAGAATCCCAGGGTTTTACTCTTCATTAGTTCCCCTTTCAGTCGTTCAAACGCCTTGTTTTGTTCTTTTCTCTATTGGAACTGTACGTCTTTTCTAATCAGTTTTCTAAACGGAGCAGTTAACGCTGAGTATTCAGATATAAACTTACTGCAAAATCCTACCAAGCCCAAGAAACTGCTTAGCTCGGTTTTTGTCTTCGGAGCCCGAAAGTTTTTGATTGTTTCGATTCGGTTTCTTAGCGGTCGTACACCTTCTTCGCTGATCTCATGGCCCATAAATTCTAATTTCTTCTGTGCTATCTTGCACTTGTCCTTGTTCACTGTTATGCCAGAATTCTCAAGTCGTTTGAGTAGTTCGAGTAAATTTCTATTATGTTCTTTTAGGGTTTTCCCATGGACCAAGAAGTCATCTACATATATTTCTACACCGTGTAGGTCTTCAGCAAGTTGTTCCATGATGCGTTGGAATATCTCGGGTGCACAGTTTATGCCAAAAAATAGTCTCTTGAATGGTAAAGCCCATCGCATGTAGCGAATGTTGTGATTTCTCTGCTACTCTCTTCTAATTCGATTTAATGAAAAGCTGATTTTAAGTCAATTTCTGAAAACCATTTGCTTCCATTTAAGCTCAGAATTAAATCGTTGATCGTTGGAATTGGATGACGTTCTCGGATTATGGCTTCGTTTGCTGCCCTCATGTCGACACACATGCGTAGTTCTTCGTTTTTCTTTGTTGTACAAACTACTGGTGATACCCATCGCGCCGGTTCGTTGACCTTCTCAATTATATCGCTTTCTATTAGCTCCCTCAGTTTTTCCTTTACCAAAGGTCGTAGCTGGAACGGTATTCTTCTGCCAGTCTGTGCCAACGGTGGAATTTTTTCATCAATAGCGATTTTCAAGGAGTAATCATGGAGTTTCCCGATTCCTTCGCCCATAGCGTTAGGAAATTTTTTGCTTAGCGATTCGATGGAAGGGACCTCTATGCTGCTGACGTTTCGTAGCGGGAGTCCTGTCCGCAGGATGCCCAACGTCCTAGCAGTGCTCTTTCCGATTATTGGTGTAGCCTTGACATCAACGACGTAGAACTTGATCGAGTCTAGCTTCCTTCCATTTTCTAGTTCTACGGTGGTGTGGAACGTACCCAATGTCTTCAATGGTGTTTGTCCCCCATACGAGTATAATTTCTTCGTGTCTGGCTCCCCACAGGTGCCTTTTATCTTACTTGCTTTCAGGTTTTCCCAACTCTTCTTGTCTATTACGTTGCATGTTGCACCTGAATCGATAAGAAATCTTGCCTTGACCCCTCCGACTAAAACTTGAATACTGTCTAGGTCGCTGTCTTCGTCTTGTACTTGAAAAGCATACTCACTGTCTTCCGGATCTCCAGTTTCGACGTTTCGGATTCTTTTCCCTTGTTCAGTCGTTTTCTTCTTTGTTCTGCAGCATTTATCCAGATGTCCTATCAGCCCACATTTGTTGCATGTTTTATTCCTTGCAGGACACTTCTCATCACTCGCTCTGTGACCTTCCCCGTCGCATCTGTAACATTTGAACGCTTTGGGTGGACGCTTTCTTTTCTACTCTTCGGATGTCTTGACTTCCGGCTTCCATTGGCCCGGCTTGCTTCTCGGGGGCTCGAAGATTCTTCCCAGCGCCTTGGCTCGATCTACGGTTAAACTGTCGCCTTCCTTTAGCAGTTGCCTTCGCAGGTCATTTGAAGTGCATTTCTCGATTAGTTGGTCGATGATCATGTCGTCTGCGTTGTTTCTGAAGTTGCAGTTGGCACTCTGCGCCTTTAAGCGGGTGACGAACTGGATAATGGTTTCGCCTTCTTTCTGGCTTAATGACCGAAACACGTGCCTTTCGTACGTATAGTTCTTTTTTGGCTGAAAAATTGCGGTTAGTGTTGTTTTGCAGATATCATACATCCTCCGTTTTCGCTTCTGGAAGCGTATACCAGACCTCTTGTACACCTTCCCCGGCATGGTGCCCGTTTTCTTTTTTCATTTTGAATCACACTTGCCTCCAGAAATAGCTCGAACGATCGTAGCCATCGGTCCCATTTCTGTGCTGTTTCCGATTCCTCCCCCGTCGGGCCGAACGGTGAGAAACACCAAAAATTTATACAAAAAAAAAAAATGAGCGAGAATGACCTTACTGATCTTCGTGAAAATTTATTTTTTTAGATTTGTATTTGTGCAGTGCAGCAAGGTTTCGATGAATTTATCAACAGGTTCATGACATTCTGAATTTTTTAATTCAGTTTTATATCTTGATGTTTTTTGAAAATTTCACACTAAATTTTGTACTGCAAAATTAGCGGAAAGTTTGGTATTGTTTTTCAGCGATCTTCCGTGAAAACTGTCGACTTCCAAACTCCATGTTGCATAATTTCTGCAAAATCCGTACCAGAATCAGATACAGTGAAACCTCTCCACAATGGACATCCATGGAAATCTCAAATTGTCCAGTGTGGAGAGGTGTCTAATGTCAAGCGGTTCAAAACATTAATTAACATTAAACCACATACATGCATTTTATTCAATATTTTATGATTTATTGCTACATATATATTATTTCTTGCAATTTGCGTTTCAGCAACGGCGATTTTTTCTGAAATTTCAGTTTTGTTACTAATACTTAAAAGTTTTTTTTCCTCAGCGGCCAGGTTACACATTTTTTTAAACGTTAACGTTCAACGAATAATGTTTTCTAAGTTCATTCGCGCTCGACAAACAAAACTACCCCAGCTTTGCGATTTGGGAAAAGCCCATATTTATTATGAGTGGTGTGGGTTGAAGAGAATCTGTTACCGAGAATCTGTTGGCGTAATTTTTAATTTTATTGTACGGTCTAATCTCTGGACCGCCTTACCTCTTATCTGTCCGTTGTGACGAGGTAATTTTAGGTAACAAATAATGTATTTTGTCATTTCAATCAGAACCAAAGTATGACTGTACTAGATCAGTGAATTCAGAAAAAAAAGCTCTGTTCAAAAATTCATTAATTATAGGCTAATTTTAAATTGTCCACAGCCTACATTATGATTTATTTAACCATTTGATGTTTACTTGATTTTACTTCGGGGCTTCTTCTTTACAGAGTCAAAGAAATGATAAGTATTATCATTAATTGGAGTTGCATGTTTATTTTCACGGAGTTATTTTCGAAGAGGAAAATCTCTGGTTCGCCAAGATTTAGGTGGCTCTTAATCCCCAAAGAAAGCTCCATATTTGCTTCAGTTTTATTTGCAGAGGCCCGAACAAATGATTTTTGGAAATTGGTTTGTGTTATTTCGACATTTCTGTAACTGAAGAAAATCTCGGTGATACATTTGTCGGGAAAACCAGGATGACCGCGTAGAGATAACATGTTTATATATTTTAATGATAAGTGGTTAGTAAATAATATAGATTCCGCATATTCTTGGTACTGTGTACTTCAAGCGGTAAGTGTTTATACTTTATCTGAGCTTTTTTGGTTATAATTTGATAAAATTCGAAATTTTCTTGGATTTGTAATTAATAAAACTAATTTATTAATTCATCAATTATCTGAAATCAATTAAAAAAACCATTAACGTGCAAACAAACTTAAAAGTAGAATCTCACTTTTTAACCAAGGGTTATTAAATACATTTCTGCGATGACGTCATTAGCTTTTTGCCCCGGGTGAACAAATAAATTTTAATTGTTGTTCTATAATCAATAATCAGTGTTAGTAAAATTTGTTCTCACATATATAATAATTTTCAAATAACTCCCGTAAATCTAAAAATTTCGTGAAAGAATGTACACTGTTTCAGAGGGCAAGACTTTAAAAACATGTTTGCCGACTCAGCAATAATTGTTAAATTTATTGATAGTTCTTTAAAGGAGCTCTTTTTCGCGGTCGGTTTTTACATATACTATAGTTGTTTTTGCCGAGAGTCCGAAAATATGGACCTATATATACACTTTGTTTGGAAAAAACGAAGTGGTACTGCCCTTCTTTATAGTTTTGATTTTTCCAATGAACAGGATATTGACGCAGTTCTCTTTTTGTTCCCCACGGTTTTATTTTGCTTTCTGTTAATAGGTTTATATGGAGACAAAAATTTTAATGGAAAACGTAAGATAAATTTGCCTTTCTTCTCCTTCTAAAACTTATGATGTCATCTCAAATTATATGAGTTATACATAGTGATGTTCTTGACTCAACTACACAGAGTTTTCTTTTAGTAAATAAGGTATCAAAACTCTTCCCATACTTAAGACAACAAGTGTGGATTATTGAAAATAACAAGCATCATCATGGAGCATAACGTATTTGTGTGTGCACTTATGCTTTTCTCATCTTGTTTGGCACAAAACACTCTCAACTCACATGAAGAAATCATAGAATTCATAAATTCCAATCAATCATCGTGGACTGCCGGAGTGAATTTAGCCGGCAAAGACCTAAAAGATCTTTTACCACTATTCAATGGTGTTCGTGGACTTCATCCTGATCTTAATTTTACGATACCTCAGATGAAACACAACTTGGAAAACATTACACTTCCTAGTAGTTTTGATGCTAGAAGCATCTGGCCTCAGTGCGCCGATATTATAGGAAACATTCTAAACCAAGGACACTGCGGTTCGTGTTGGGTAAATTTTCCAACTTTGTATTTTTGCTTTTGATTGTGGATAATTTCAGGCATTCGCTACAACGGAGGTTATGTCGGACAGACTCTGTATACAAAGCAGCGGAAAAGTTAAAATGCAGTTATCAGCTGAAGACGTTGTTTCATGTTGTTCCACCTGTGGGTATCAGTGCCAAGGAGGTTATCCCTCTACAGCTTTTCAATACTGGGACACGTATGGCGTTGTTTCTGGAGGAGATTATTTATCAAATTCTGTATTATCGTGGAAGTTTATGGGTTTTTTAATTATTATTTCGTATTTTAGGGTTGCAAACCGTATGGGTCATCCGAATTTAACAACGGTGTAGCACCGGAATGTCAACAGGCATGTTCAAACCCTTCCTACAAAACTCCTTACAACTCAGACAAGCATTTTGGTTCAAATTATTACCAAGTGAGCGGACAAGAGTCGCAAATTCAAGCTGAAATATACACCAAAGGAGCAGTTTCGGTTGTTTTTACGGTCTATGAAGACTTTCCATATTATCAAACAGGTAAATATTGCATGGTAGTGCTCTTGCAATCCACAACTGCAATAATTTTAGGTATCTATTTTCATATCTATGGTGTAGCTTTAGGTCTGCATGCAGTTAAAATCATAGGATGGGGGACCGAGTTTGGATTTCCTTATTGGTTAGTCGCTAATTCGTGGGGAAAAAGTTGGGGAGGATTAGGTGGATATTTTAAAATTTTGAGAGGTTACAATCATTGTGGTATTGAAGAGCAAGTACTTGGGGCCGATTCAAGGGTTTATTCCCCAAATCCAGAAGATTTAAACAACAACGATATTACCATAGGTACTACACCTTCTTCGGGTGTGAAACTTTCAGAGCGGGTTCTGTTGTTTTTGTTGGGATTATTTTTTCTGTTTACTGTTTTTTGTTTTTGTATTCGTTCTGAAAATATTTTTAGTAACATTTTATACAGTTGCATTCGGCATATGCGGATGAAATATTTGGAAGAAAAGCGCATTATTGTAAACTGATAGTTAATTGTCCTAGTTTTTCAGGTCTTTTTTGTGTATATTTTATATGTAACATTAAAATAGTGAATATAATTGTAAACATGTATTTTTTTTACACAGACTTGCATAAAAAGAAGTCTTTTTCGTTATTTAAAGATGCCAAGTTGTGTGAAAATGTTAAGCAATTCATACTTGTGAAAACAAACAAATAAATCTTACTTAGTTTAATAATAATTATTTAACGAACGAGGTAGTTAATGATGAAAATTCACAAAAAAATATGTTTATGTGAGTTAAAGGAAAAAAAGTTTTTAATTGTAAATGTGTAATGTATCATTTCACTTTATTTTGAACAGAATTTTCAGTATAGCCTTTCGTGAAAGCTGTCCACTTCCAACTTCTATGTCGCTTAATTTCTGCAAAATTTGCACCAGAATCAGATAATAGTGAGCAAAACACCGCCGAAAACGATGTCCACTAGACAAACGCGGGAGGTATTTCACAATGTATTTTCGAAAATGTATTGGTTCTGTTTTATATTGGTTTTAGAATATTAATAAAACCAGCTTCTACAATTATTTGTTTATTCTAATCTCTTACGTATCTAACAACATTCTCTAAGCCTACTTCTATAACACCCCCCTTCTTAATTCTAATACTTAACAATTAGTACAAAATATAGTCTTTAAATCGCGAGGGTGTTCTTCGTTTTCTCTGACTAAACTTTGCTTTGATACATCTATAAATTTGTCATCATCATTGTCGTCACAGTTAATAATAGGAACGTATTCGTTAAGAGAATCCCTTAAATGTATACTATTTCTTCTCAACAATTGGCCTTTCCTATCTTTTACAATATATGACCTAGGTTCATTACATTTCTTTACAATTTTTGCCGACTCCCATTTACCTTCCTTTTGTAAGGTAACATTTTGATTGTTCACAAAATTAGGTTTAGCTTTTGTAGTCCTGTCATAGTAGTATTTTGTCTGTTGTTGTTTGGTGTGTAATTTCTTGATTACATTGTTTGGATCAACTGTGTTAAATTCTAAAGTACTTTGAGGAACTGGCAGTTTGGTTTTGATGTTTCGATTAAAAACTAATTCTGCAGGAGATAGACCTACACCAACAATTTTTGTCGATCTGTAAGACATTAAACCTGTTGTTAACTCACAGCTCTTTTTTAAAAGTGACTTGGCTATTTTTACCCCACTTTCTGCAAAGCCATTACTTCTAGGATAATGTGGACTACTTGTTGTTATTTTAAACCCATACTCATCCGAAAATTTTTTGAAACTATAAGAAAAATATGGCATATTATCAGCTATCAGTAAATCCGGTATTCCAAAGTTAGCAAAAAATTTTTTAAACTGCTTTATCAATTCAACTGAGTTTTTCTCTCTAATTGGAACTACATCAAGCCATTTAGAGTAATAGTCAAAAATTATTAAATAATTATTCTTTGCATATTCACATATGTCTGAACCTATTTTAGAAAATGGTCTACCCGGTAAAGGATGACTTATCAATGACTAGTTCTTTTGCATTTGATGAACGATTTGATTCACAAATTTTACAACTTTTAATAAATGTGATAATCTCTTTATCATAATTTGGCCAGTATAATGCTTCTTTTGCTCGACTTAAAGTTTTATTAACACCGAAATGACTTTCATGAAGTAAATTCAACATACTTCTACGTAAACTTGGTGGTACTAACAACCTATTTTTAAACAAAATTATTCCGTCAACAATAGTCAAGTCTAACACTGTGATAAAATTTTAAAATTTTGGAATTGTCATCAATATCATGTATTTTATTGGGCCATTCAGTTAAACAATATTCTTTTACTTTATTTAGAACAGGATCTGCTTGAGTTTCCTTTTGAACTGTTACTTTTTTATTCTCTGAAATGTTTACAATTGCATGTATGTTATGTACTACTTCAAGCATCGATTCATCATCTTCCACTGGATCATTTAAATAATTTCTGGACAACAAATCAGCAACATGTAAAAATTTTCCTGGCATATACTCACATTTTATATCATACCGTACCAATTTTAATTTAATTCTTTGCAACCTAGGAGAAATGATGTCAGCAATTTTTTTATTCATTATGGAAACCAGTGGCTTATGATCAGTACAGATTGTTACTTGCTTGCCATATATATAATTATGAAATTTTTTTAGTGCAAACGCCATAGCCAAAAACTCTTTTTCAATTTGAGCATAATTTTGCTCTACTGTTGTCATACTACGTGATGCAAACGAGACTGGTCTTCCTTCTTGCAACAAGCAACAACCTAAACCACTCTTAGAAGCATCTGTATGTATCGTTATTTCTTTTTTATCATCAAAATTTGCCAGCACAGGTGCTACAGTAAGCATATTTTTGATTTGATCATAAATATTTTGATGTAGTTCAGTCCATGAAAAAATTACATTATTTTTTAATAAATTTCGCAATGGATCTGTAATTTCTGACAAATCAGGCAAAAAGTTTCGAAAATAATTAAACATGCCTAATACCTTTTGTAAATCTTTTTTATTTTTGGGTTCTTTTAATTGAATTATTGATTTAATCCTATCTGGATCTGGTTGCATGCCATCTTTTGAAAATAAATGACCTAAATATTTAACTTGACTTTTTCTATATTGTACTTTACTTTGATTAAATTTAATATTTAACTTTATGGCTCTATCAATAACTTTATTGAGTATTGCATCATGTTCTTCTTCAGTCTCTCCTGCAATTAATAAGTCATCAATATATACAGTAACTCCCTCAATGTCTCCAAAATTGTTTGTATTTAATTTTTGAAATTACTCTGGTGCTGTTTTCAGACCAAAGGGTAACCTGTTGAATTGATAATACCCAAACGGACTACTGAATGTACAAATCTGTTGTGATTTATCATCAAGTTGCACGTGATAAAAACCATCTTTAAGATCTAGTACAGTATAGCGAACTTTATTTTTCAATTTTGCAGTTATTTCCTCCATTGTTGGCATAAGGCAATACTCCCTTTCGATATTTTTATTTATATCAGCTGGATCTAGACAAATTCTTAAACTACCATTCGGTTTTTCAACAATAACCAAATTGCTAGCCCATTCAACTGGTCTATTAACTTTACTTATTATACCTTTTTGCTCTAAATCATTTAAAGTCAATTTTAATTTATTTTTAATTGAAATTGGGACTCTTCTAGGTGGTCTGTTAAGAGGGATCGCATTTTTTCTTAACAATATTTATGTACACCTCCAAATTTACCTGATCCCACAAACAAATCTTTATTTTCATCAAGAAAATTTTCTTCAGTTAATGTTTTTAAATTATTTACTCTCTTGACGAGACCTAACTGAATGCACGCATTTAATCCCAACAAAGGTTGATTATTATTATTACACACATAGAAACTAATCGAGTGTCGTTTACCTCTAACAGTACAGTCCAAGTCAATAAATCCTAAAGGCTTAATTTTATATCCTCCCCATGACTCTAACAACATTTTTGTGTCCCTGACTATCTTATTCATACACTTGAGTTGCCTCACTAACTTTTCTGGAATTGTGTTAACCTCCGCCCCAGTATCTAATTTCATTTTCACAACAGAACCGTACAATTTTACATCTTCATACCACGCTTTACCAACAGTGTTAACACCCGAACAATATTTCTTAATGCCTTCCACCATAAGCGTTGCTTCTGAACCACTAGCAGTGAATTCGTCATTCTTAACTTCTCTAACTTCCTTAACTCTACAACAAATTTTAAAGTGATTCATTTTACCACACCGGTGACACTTCTTTCCAAAGGCAGGACAATTACGAACACAATGCTTTGTTTTACACCTGGTACACAAAAATCTCGTTACTGTTTCTTGTTTCTTCTGACTATCGTCTTGCTGTTTCTTCTTATAAGTTTCTGAACTTGGATTCTTCTTCTGGAGTACTTCCACAGCTTTCGCTCCTTCTGTCTGCACTGTCTGTATATAGCCCTTGGCTGCTTCATTTGTTCTACACATGGTGACCACATCTGCCAGGGTGACACTTCCTTTAATAATTAACTTTTGCTGTACTTCTTTGTCAGATATTCCAAAGATTATCCTATCTCGTAGCATTTCTTCGGAGTCTTTGAATTCACATCTCTTAACTGCAGTCCTCAAATCATTCACAAAATGATCGAAAGATTCACCACATTCTTGTAAAACAAGAATCTTTCATAAACTATGCTTTTCCTAGGATTAACATACTTCATAAACTATTCCACGACCGTTTTATATACTTTCTTCTGTGCGCCTGTCACCTCAAAGTTACTGTATATTTTAATACCCTCTTCTCCCAACACATTAAGGAGTATGGCAATTTTTACTGGATCCTCTTTTAGGCTTCCACCACTTGCCAGCATATAAACTTCAAATTGACGTATAAATTTTGTGAAATTTTCCTGCACATTTCCTTCAAAACTAAACTTTCTCGGCGGTTTGATATCCATTTTCTTCAACTATAATTATTCGTTCATCAAACTACTGCACCGACTGCGCCATGTTTTATATTGGTTTTAGAATATTAATAAAACCAGCTTCTACAATTATTTGTTTAATCTAATCTCTTACGTATCTAACAACATTCTCTAAGCCTACTTCTATAACAGGTTCCAACTGGCTGCGTTGAACATCTATTGTGCAGAGAATGAAAAATCATCAGTTATGAGGAGTATGAATTTCATGCTAATCGTTCCAAGTTTCATCCAGAAAAATAATACTTCTATCCTCTTCCCTGAATTCCACTATTTCACAAAGGTACTTATACTGACAGTCACTTATTGCTTTTGATTCTTTCATCACATGCCTTTTATCCAATGTTTTATTATCAAATCCAATTTTTCCTAGAAATGTTCGAATTGTTTCAAGACAACCCTGCAATCCAGTAAACTCTGCAATTTTTCCATATTTATTTCCTGAGAAAAATTTAGATAGTACAAATAAAAGTATATAATTCTGTTTTTTGACGTTCATCACATTTGCACTGAATTATCTAAGGTGATTCATCTACAACAGTTTTGTTCGTAAAAATTGTTTCAAAATGAGTTCTCGTTTTGGGCAAAATTCTGGGCAAGTTATACACTCCAGTGAATACAATGAGTCCAGAGATTCTGCATGGAAACAATTTCAACAATTTTGCGATGAAAGAAAATATACTGTGAACAAGGAAACTATCGTATCCGAATTGGCTCTAATTCTAAAAGATCGAAACAAAATCTCGACCAGAGAACTGACAAAAATTGACCAAACTACGCTTTTAACATTTCGCCAAAAGTGGAGACTCCACCCGGCGTCAGGGGGCCAAACAAAGAAAAATCAATGTTGTTTTGAAAAGAAGTGTCTTCTCGTTCTCTCTCGAACCATACCAGCAAACCGCTCAAATCGCCGTCGATTCACGTATTCTTCATCAAAATTCCCTCATTTACATTATAAAACAAATCTATCGAACAGCTCTTTAGAGTGGCCACTGGCTCGTGACTTAACTAGGATAGCCAGCCATAGATCTCGATCCCATCAAACCTTCTTTTACCTGTGACTCGGTTTTCCCCCAGGTGGTATGGCAAACTTCACTCCACTTGTGGTATCCGAATTTCCAACCTTTTCTTTTATCAAAACATCTGTACTAATTTACAAAGCGAGGAAATCGTATCACTCAATTTTGATAAGGGGATTTCTCGAACAAAGCCTTTCTCTGCCTCTGTGCCCATCCATCATGGTCGCTATTACACTGTGCCGTTTTCTTGAAATTCAACAAAAAGAGCTAGGTATGCTTGAAAGCAATTTACTTTCTAACGACTCCCTCGGAAAAGATTGAACATGTGGTACCATAAGCTTAACTCGAGTGTCCAGTGCCACATGGGGAGAGAACGGGATATAGCGAGATGGGACAAAAGGAACTATATGGACCTGTTTGTTGGAATTTTCAGGGAAGGTCCGGAAGATGTGATTTCTGAGGGGTCGTTAAGAAGAACAAAGTTAAATTCTTATTTAGACGCTTATCAACAAGTACTTAATCTTTCTAACGAAATAAATATAAAGACGGTTCTGGAAACCAACCACAAAAAGGAGGTTATTCTGGTACTTTTATGGGAATTAAGCTCAATAGTAGGCAGCTGAATATTAACCAGGAACTAATGGCACTCTTAAAGTGATTAACTCTGTTTCTAAATATCTTTAGAAATAATTTAAAAGTTCGTCTTTTCTTAAAATGCTCTAGCTACTCCAAAAATGAGTGCAACCTGTAAATTGCAATATTTTTTTGTTTGATTGATCGTTATTTTATTACATTTATCCTTAAGAAGACGGTGTTGTGGGGGTCAAATGTCAATTTCCGCACATGCTCTTTCTCCAAACTTTGAATTTTTTGAGAACTTTGACCTTTTTGTCGGTCTGTCTGTCTGTCTTTGGCACCATACCTCCCAAATGGATGAACCGAAATCAATGCGGTTTCTTTTGTTTGAAAGCCGGTTGAATCGGGAAGGTTCGTACGAAGGTGGTTTGATGAATAAAGAAGAAAAAGCAGTAACTGCATTTGTAAACTTCAAGAAAGCTTCCCATAGATAATGTTTCGACAATGTCAAGACCAGAAATCATTGACAATAAAGTTCATAATAGTGTTTTGGTCAATAGATGAATGAAGGTGCGTGAGTTAGCCAAAGCTGGAGGCATCTCAACTGAAAGAGTTCATTTTGTTAATGCCCAAAGCAATGGTGGAGGAATTAGCTCTCTTAACCAGTTTCAGACTTTTTAAAGGTTATTTTTTTGTCGAACATTTTAGATAAACTCTAAACGCTCTAAATTGAAATCGCCGTTTGGGCTATACATACTGTTTAGACAACATCTATGGACAACACTGACAATTGAAAAAATTTACAACTCGATTCTGACATGTCATGATAACGCGATTAGTGTCAGCTGAATTATTATAATCTAAGCTTCTTCTTTAATTTCTTGCATTCGAGTAGAATAAAAAATAATTGATGATGCTTTGGACCCATGAGGCTCGCCACAAAGCCTCGTCCAACAACATATCTACTTCAGTTGTCTGAAATATTGTAATTTCATTTTGTAAATTTCGTTTATGAACTCTTCGTTTGAAGTTTGCAATATTTAACCGAATTTGCTATGAAGGATTTTGATAGGCAGATCATTTTTGTTATTAGTTCGAGTCAAAGCAATCACATAATTTCAGTTAAGACATTGGAAAAAACGAAGGGAGATGTAAAATCAGTAACGTGCAACTACGATATTATACGTTTTAAAAGAACGCATTTTGGGTAAATAAAATTTCGTTATACTAAAAATAATGCTGAGCTGATAGAACTTCCGGAGGAATGTGCGATATGAAGCTTATTTTCTAGGAGAAATATTACTAATTTGTGTAGATTTTTTCTCCTTTTAGGTGGTTTCAAGATACAAACTACCTTTTAATCTTATATTTGCTTCAGTTTTATCTGTAGAGGTTCGAGCAAGTAATTTTTGCAAATTGGTTTGAATAGAAATAATGTATAGTCTTGGCAAATACAAGTGGCATACCTAACTTTAAACTCTAAACCTGACTTTAATTTTTATTCAATATACCTCCTTTGAACAACGTGATACTCAAACACATGTCTTACATGGTAATTTATTGTTGAGAAATAAGGACTTTCCAATTAAGCTCTGCTCTCTTGGCTCGCATTGAATAAAAAAAATCATCAAATCTGCATTAGGGGGTGTGGGCGGGGCTTATATTTTGCCTTTTTTTTCTTAATATAGGTAGTTACCTTTTCACAACAAAAATTTAAGTCATGTTTAAAATGGTTAATTTTTGTTGGAAAATTCAGATTTTGCAGTTACGTTTAGCCTCATCCATATCTGCGCCGAGCTGAATAGTGACGACGTTTTGATCCGTTGTCAGACGAGGAACGGAGCGTGATTGCAAAATTCACATTTACCTACAAAAATGTATCGATTTAAACATGTTTTAAGTTTCTTGTTGTGAAAAAATGACTACATATATTAAGAAAAAAAAGACAAAATATAAAAATAGAAATTGATCATTTAAAATGGAATTGAGGTAAATAACACCGAAATACGTGGCAGAAGCGGAATGCGCGGTTCCTAGTCGAGATGGCCGGATTTCCCGCGTTTTTCAAAAACACAATGTAGAGTTCTATTTTGTTAGACGATGATCACAGCCAAGATCAAATTTTTGAATTTTCAGGGGCTTTCAATTTTTTTTTCACATGTCAATTTGAGGCGGGATATTTGGGTTATCACACCGTTTTTGATTTAATCTCATTCGTGGAATATCCAAAATCAATTTCAACAATTTAAACTCCGACTTATTTGGTACAAATTGGAAGCTATGTATGGCATGGCATGGCAGAGAATCATAGAAGTCTTTCTTCGGCCTATCCATCTGCCAGGAAAAGTTTCATTTAAGTACTGTCGCACTTGACGTTCAAAATGGGGTGGAGGACCGTCTTGTTGAAACCAAATGGTATCTGCTGGTAACTCCGGATTTTGGTAATTGGGAAACAATTCTGTAATATAAATAAAAGTATTCTCTTAGCACACAAAGGAATCCGTAAAAAATGTATCTGAATCATTTATTTATAGCCTAATTTTAAACTGACCACAGTCTACATTACGATTTATTTAACCACTTGGTGTCTGTGACATTTAGGTATTTGATTTTACTTCGGGACTCCTACTTTACAGAGTTAAAGCAATAATACAATAGTTATAGTTTGGCTTGAGTGTTAGGTATCTAAATAAAAGTTCGTTATACTAAAGATAATATACAGAACTGATACGGCTTCCGTGGGGAGATAAGAAGTTTATTTTCGCGGAGTTATTTTCGAAGAGGAAAATCACTTATTCATGCAATTTTAGGCGGCTTTTAATCCACGAAAAGAGCTCCATATTTACTTCAGTTTTATTTGCAGAGGCCTGAGCAAGTAATTTTTGGAAATTGGTTTGTTTTTTTCGACATTTCTCTAACCGAAAAATGTCCCGGTGATTTGTTTGTCGGGAAAGACTAAGATGATCGCGTCGAGATAACATTTTTGTATACTTTTATTATGATAAGTAGTTAGTAAATAATACAAATTTCGCATGTTCTTGGTACTGTGCACTTCGAGCGGTAAGTGTTTATACCTTATCAGAGCTTTTGTGGTTATAGTTAGTTAAAGTTTGAAACCTTATTGGATCGGTAAAGTTGCAGGGATAGTTAATTTAAGAATTGCTAAAATATAATATAAACTTTTTTTCGGAATATGCAAATATTGGAAAACGAAGAATTAAGTCTCTAAGTTTTTATTTGTCCAATGAGCCCGAAAATGACACATTTCCATTTTTTGTTTCCCGCGGATTTATTTTACTTCCGGTTAATAGGTATTTTATCAAGGGAGACAAATTTTGAAGGAAAACGCAAAACGAGATTTTCCTTGTTTCTCCTCCAAAAATTTTATGATGTCATCTCATGGTTTGATTAGTAATTCTCACTTGAATGATACATAATGACATGTTCTGGACCCAACTACACACAGTTTTCTTTTGTCTTGTAGTAGCTTGTGAAAACTCTTCCCATACTTAGACAACAATTTTGGATTCCTATTGAAAATAAAAGTACCATCATGGAGAACATCGTATTTGCACTTATGCTTTTCCCATCTTGTTTGGCACTACAAGCCCTCAACTCACATGAAGAAATTATAGACTCCATAAATTCCAATCAGTCATCGTGGACTGCTGGTGTGAATTTCGGTGGCAAAGATGTGCAAGATCTTTTACCACTATTCAGTGGTGTGCGTGGGCTTCATCCTGATCTTAATTTTACGATACCTCAGGTGAACCACAACTTGGGAAAAATTACACTTCCTAGTAGTTTTGATGCTAGAAGTAACTGGCCTCAGTGCGCCGATATTACAGGAAACATTCTAGACCAAGGAAACTGCAGCTCCTGTTGGGTAAATTTTCCAACTTTGTATTTTTTCTTTTGATTATGGATAACTTCAGGCATTCGCTACAACGGAGGTTATGTCGGACAGACTCTGTATACAAAGCAACGGAAAAGTCAAAATGCAGTTATCTGCTGAAGACGTTGTTTCATGTTGTTCCACCTGTGGGTATCAGTGCCGAGGAGGTTATCCTGCTAGCGTTTTTCAATACTGGGACACATACGGCGTTGTCTCTGGAGGAGATTATTTATCAAATTCTGTATAATTGTGTAAGTTTATGGGTTTTGTTCTTATTGTTTCGTATTTTAGGGTTGTAAACCATATGGGTCATCCGAATTTAACAACAGTGTAGTGGCGGAATGTCAGCTGGAATGTTCTAACCCTTCCTACAAAACTCCGTACAACTCAGACAAACATTTTGGCGCAAATTTTTACGAAGTGAGCGCAGAAGAGTCCCAAATTCGAGCTGAAATTTACGCCAAAGGAGCAGTTTCGGTTGTTTTTACGGTCTATCAAGACTTTTCATATTATCAAACAGGTAAATATTGCATGTTCGTGCTCTTGCAATTCACAAATGCAATAATTTTAGGTGTCTACTATCATACTTATGGTGCAATGCTAGGTCTACATGCAGTTAAAATTATAGGATGGGGGACCGAGGATAGACTTCCGTATTGGTTGGTCGCTAATTCGTGGGGAAAAAGTTGGGGAGGATTAGGTGGATTTTTTAAAATTTTGAGAGGTGTCAATGAATGTGGCATTGAAGATCAAGTACTTGGGGCCGATTCAAGGGTTTATTCTCCAAATCCAGAAGATTTAAACAACAACCATACTACCATAGGTACTACACATTTTTCGGATGTGAAACTTTCAGAGCGGGTTCTGTTGTTTTCGTTGTTGTTATTTTTTCTTTTTACTGGATTTTGTTTTTGTATTTGTTCTGAAAACATTTTTAGTAACATTTTATATAGTTGCATTCGGCATATGCGGATGAAATATTTTGAAAAAAAGCGCATTATTGTAACCTGATACTTAATTGTCCCCGTTTTTTCAGGTCTTTTTTGTGTATATTTTATATGAAACATTAAAATAGTGAGTATATAATTGTAAACATGTATTTTTTTACACAGAGTTGCTTAAAAAGAAGTCTTTTTCGTTATTTAAAGATGCCAAGTTGTGTGAAAATGTTAAGCAATTCATAATTGTGAAAACAAACAAATAAATCTTACTTAGTTTAATAATAATTATTTAACGAACGAGTTAGTTAATGAAGGTTATTAAAACACACCGAGACTAGCTATTAACCAAAGTGTTAGTTACAATATTTTTTCGATCAAAATTAAAAAAAAATATGTTTGTGTGAGTTAAAGGAAAAAAGTTTTTAATTGTATGTAATGTATCATTTCACTTTCTTTTGAACAGAATTTTCAGTATAGCCTTTCGTGAAATCTGTCCACTTCCAACCTCCATGTCGCTTAATTTCTGCAAAATTCGCACCAAAATCAGATAATAGTGAGTAAAACACCGCCGAAAACGATGTCCACTAGACAAACGTGGTAAGTATTTCACAATGTATTTTCGAAAATGTATTGGTTCCAACTGGCTGCGTTGAACATCTATTGTGCAGAGAATGAAAAATCATCAGTTATGTGGAGTATGAATTTCATGCTAATCGTTCCAAGTTTCATCCAGAAAAATAATACTTCTATCCTCTTCCCTGAATTCCACTATTTCACAAAGGTACTTATACTAACATTCACTTCTAGATCATTTTTGTTATTAGTTCGAGTCAAAGCAATCACATAATTTCAGTTAAAACATTGGAGAAAACGAAGGGAGATGTAAAATCAGTACCGTGCAACTACAATATTATACGTTTTAAAAGAACGCATTTTGGGTAAATTAAATTTCGTCATACTAAAAATAATGCTGAGCTGATAGAACTTCCGGAGGAATGTGCGATATGAAGCTTATTTTCTAGGAGAAATATTACTAATTTGTGTAGATTTTTTCTACTCTTAGGTGGGTTTCAAGCTACAAACCACCTTTGAATTTTATATTTGCTTCAGTTTTATCTGTAGAGGCTCGAGCAAGTGACTTTTGCAAATTGGTTTGTATAGAAAAGCGTACTTTATATTTTTTAATTGGTTCTCTTTCATTGTCAACATAATGCACTTCACCATTAATATCGTCTAATGAATCCTGGCTCGCAATGAATAAAAACAAATCATCACAACTGAGATACAGGGTTTGGGAGGGTCTATATATTTTGCCTTATTTTTCTTAACATTGGTAGTCACCTTTTCACAAAAAAAAACTTAAGTCATGTTTAAAATGGTTAATTTTTGTTGGAAAATTCAGATTTTGCAGTTACGTTTGGCCTCACCCATATCTGCGCCGAGCTGAATAGTGACGACGTTTTGATTCGTTGTCAGACCGAGGGACGGAGGGTAATTGCAAAATTCACTTTACCTACAAAAATTTATCGATTTAAACATGTTTTAAGTTTCTTGTTGTGAAAAGATCACTAAATATATTAAGAAAAAAGACAAAATATAAAAATAGAAATTGATCATTTAAAATGGAATTGAGGTAAATAACACCGAAATACGTGTCAGAAGCGGAGTGCGCGGTTCCTAGTCGAGTTGGCCGGATTTATCGCGCCATCTGCAGAAAAGATGCAGGTTAGAATAGAATTTAGGGCCGGTCGAGATGACGCAATGCTGTCGGGTTCTACCCCATAGCCGGGACCCAACTGCGAATTTGCGACTGTAATGGCCTGCTGCAATTTTTTTTCACATGCCAGTTTAAGGCGGGATCTTTGGGTTATAACACAGTTTTTGATTTAATCACACTCGTAATCAACTTCAACAATTTAAACTCCGACTTATTTGATACAAATTGAAGGCGACTCTATGACAGCACTTGTTCCAGAGGGTCATAGAAGCGGTGTCAAATCCGATGACCTGGCAGGCAACTCAATAGTATCCATTCGGCCTATCCATCAGCCAGGAAATGTTTAATTTAAGTACTGTCGCACTTGACGTCCAAAATGGGGTGGAGCACCGTCTTGTTGAAATCAAATAGTTTCTGCTGGTAAATAGCACCCCCGCAACGCGGGGGGGGGGGGGCGCAGCACCAAAAGGGGCGCAGACCGTAACGTAACCCATATATTTTTTAAAATGTGCAAACGAGTAAATACATATTTATATTACTTTTAAAATTTGGTGTAAGGGAGCGCTCACTATAAATTGCGGGGGGCGCAGTGGAAGTTAGCTACGCCACTGCTGGTAACTCCGGATTTTGGTAATTGGGAAACAATTCTCTAATATAAATAAAATTATTCTCTTAGCACATAAAGGAATCCGTAAAAAATGTATCTGAATCATTTATTTATAGCCTAATTTTAAACTGACCACAGTCTACATTACGATTTATTTAACCACTTGATTTTACTTCGGGGCTCCTACTTTACAGAGTTAAAACAATTATACTATAGTTTTAGTTGGACTTGCGTGTTAGGTATCTAAATAAAATTTCGTTATACTAAAGATAATATACAGAACTGATACGACTGGCCGTGGGAAGATATGAAGTTTATTTTTCGCAGAGTTATTTTCGAAGAGGAAAATCACTGATTCACGCAAATTTAGGCAGCTTTTAGTCCACGAGGAAAGCTCTATATTTACTTCAGTTTTATATGCAGAGGCCGGAGCAAGTAATTTTTGGAAATTGGTTTGATTTTTTTTCGACATTTCTCTAACTGAAAAATGTCCCGGTGATTTGTTTGTCGGGAAAGACCAAGATGATCGCGTCGAGATAACATTTTTGTATACTTTTAATGATAAGTAGTTAGTAAATAATACAGATTTTCCACATTCTTGGTACTGTGCATTTCGAGCGGTAAGTGTTTATACCTTATCAGAGCTTTTCTGGTTATAATTTGTTAAAGTTTGAAATCTTATTGGATCCGTAAAGTTGCAGGGACAGTTAATTTAAGAATTACTGAAATATAATATAAGCTTTTTTTCTAAGTTTTCAGTTGTCCAATGAACCCGAAAATGACACAGTTCCATTTTTTGTTTCCCTCGGCTTTATTTTACTTCCGGTTAATAGGAATTTTATCAGGGGAGACAAATTTTAATGGAACACGCAAAACGAGATTTTCCTTGTTTCTTCACCAAAAACTTTATGATGTCATCTCAAAGTTTGATTAGTAATTCTCATTTGAATAATACATAATGACATGTTCTGGACCCAACTACACACAGTTTTTTTTTGTCTCGTAGTAGCTTGTCAAAATTCTTCCCATACTTAAACAACAATTGTGGATTCTTATTGAAAATAACAAATACCATCATGGAGAACATCGTATTTGGGTTTGCACTAATGCTTTTCCCATCTTGTTTGGCACAAAACGCCCTCAACTCACATGAAGAAATTATAGACGTCATTAATTCGAATCAGTCATCGTGGACTGCTGGAGTAAATTTCGGCGGCAAAGATCTACAAGATCTTTTACCACTATTCAATGGTGTTCGTGAGCTTCATCCTGCTCTTAATGTTACGATAGCTCATCTAAAAACATTACACTTCCTAGTAGTTTTGATGCTAGAAGTAACTGGCCTCAGTGCGCCGATATTATAGGAAACATTCTAAACCAAGGACACTGCGGTTCCTGTTGGGTAAATTTTCCAACTTTGTATTTTTTATTTTGATTATGGATAACTTCAGGCATTCGCTGCAACGGAGGTTATGTCGGACAGACTCTGTATACAAAGCAACGGAAAAGTCAAAATGCAGTTATCTGCTGAAGACGTTATTTCATGTTGTTCCAACTTTGGGCATAAGTGTCAAGGAGGTTCTCCTGCTAGCGCTTTTCAATACTGGGACACATACGGCGTTGTCTCTGGAGGAGAGTATTTATCAAATTCTGTATTCTCGTGTAAGTTCATGGGTTTTCTTACTATTATTTTGTATTTTAGGGCTGCAAGCCGTACGGGGCATCTGAATTTATCAACGGTTTAACATCGGAATGTCAGCCAGTATGTTCTAACCCTTCCTACAAAACTCCTTATAACTCAGACAAGCATTTTGGCGCAAATTATTACCAAGTAAGTATAGAAGAGTCCCAAATTCAAGCTGAAATTTACGCCAAAGGAGCAGTTTCGGTTGTTTTTACGCTCTATGTAGACTTTCTATATTATCAAACAGGTAAATATTTCATGTTAGTGCTCTTGCAATCCACAACTGCAATAATTTTAGGTGTCTATTATCATACCTATGGTGGAGATTTAGGTCTGCATGCAGTTAAAATTATAGGATGGGGGACCGAAAATGGAAATCCGTACTGGTTGGTCGCTAATTCGTGGGGAAAAAGTTGGGGAGGATTAGGTGGATTTTTTAAAATTTTGAGAGGTTCCAATCAATGTGGTATTGAAGGGCAAGTGCTTGGGGCCGATTCAAGGGTTTATTCTCCAAATCCAGAAGATTTAAACAACAACCATACTACCATAGGTACTACACCTTCTCCTGGTGTGAAATTTCCAAAGCGTGTGTTGTTGTTGTTGACGGTGTTATTTTTTCTTTTTACTGGGGTTTCTTTTTGTATTCGTTCTGAGAAAAAAAATAGAAACATTTTGGGTAGTAGCAATCGGTATATGCGGATGAATTATCTGGAAAAAAACCGCATTACTGTAAACTGATAATTAATTGTCCCTGTTTTTTCAAGTCTTTTTTGTGTATATTTTATATGAAACATTAAAATAGTGAATATAATTGTAAACATGTATTTTTTTACACAGACTTGCAAAAAAAGAAGTCTTTTTCGTTATTTAAAGATGCCAAGTTGTGTGAAAATGTTCATCAATTCATACTTGTAAAAACAAAGAAATAAATATTACTTAGTTTAATAATTATTTAACGAACGAGGTAGTTAATGATGAAAATTCACAAAAAAATATGTTTATGTGAGTTAAAGGAAAAAAAGTTTTTAATTGTAAATGTGTAATGTATCATTTCACTTTATTTTGAACAGAATTTTCAATATAGCATTCCACTTTCAACTTCCATGTCGCTTAATATTTTCAAAATTCGCACCAGAATCAGATA